AACTTGACAATATGGTTCTCTGGCGTCAGAGAGAACCTGTATATCTATGTTGATTATAGTTTGTCCTCGTACGAAAAATCGTGTATTACCTTATTCATCAGATACTAGTATAAACTGGCGGCAAAACAATTACTTTAAGCTTACTTTAAACTTTACAATACCCCTGACTGTTGGATTTGACTAAAACATTGGAAGCTTTCTCGAAACGTCACAGGGCTTAAAACCGTCGCCGAATCACTGCGAACATCGATCCCAAACAAACCTACGATACCTATTTCAAATGTATCACCATCGATTAAATATTTATCAGGTTATGTATTTTAAGCCACAATCAAACACTGGTGTATACGTTCTTTTCAGGAAGTTTTGATAGGCTCTGCTGGGTTTGTGTGCATTGTTGACAGATGTTACCTAGCTGATTCATAAACCGAAACTTAAAGGTCACATGCAACGTAAAACACAACTTTGCAGATTCTGATACCTTTCGGTATGGACTTACCGAAACAAATCGTCAAAAATGCAAATTTAACTTATAAAGTTGAAAAATAACGCGATGAAAAAACGCGCGAAATCGGAGTTCAAACGATTCACTAATTTTCCCCCCAGCGTTTGGTGGGAATTCAAGTGGTTTCAACAGCTGGGCTGCGCTCATAGCACGTGCGCAGTGAAATAGGTTCGCGCAACTTGGAAGCGGGTTGTCCGGTGAATACTCGGTGAAGACTTTGGTGTGAGCTATTTTTCTAATGTTTTGTTGATATCTCACAGGCGCAAGCTTGTTATATGTTATGACAGTAAATTAACTGTTTATATCATTTCATTTGTCTATTTAACCACACGTTCTTCTTACCGAGTCACTTTCTCAGGTCGATACTTAAAAGCAATGTCATTATTTAGCGTTGACAGAATTTCTAACTGTGATATAGATATGTCGTTGTCACAGACAAAACTCAATGTCTTGTTTTATTGACACCTGTGTGTCTGCCTGCCTGTCTGCTAATGACAATATTCAATACACAGCTGCTATCACTGACCACATGCAATTTGAACTTAACACCTATCAGGCTATACACCATAAACAAAATGCATTGATTTATGGCCCGAGTTCGGTCTCTGTCACATTATGTAATTACACAGACAGGCAGGTGTGATACTTGAACACATGACATGTTATGATGTCTGTTGATTGCAAAATGTTATACACAAAAAATGAGCATGTATTTACAAAACCCAACATCTCTATATATACACACACAATGAGCCGTGAGGGCATATGCAAATGAACCAGCCGTTACACTTGAGTGCACACCCACCCGCTCTGACTGGGTTCGGTATCCCGGCTGCTTCGTTTCTTGGGAAGTAAACCCAAGTACACAATATTGCGCTTTTGATTTGCGATTGTACGCTTATAATTTTGTTTATATGTTTTTTCAGAACCAGCAATGTATATTATATGTCATGAATAAGTGATAATTGTGTTTTAATTATGTTTGATTTTTTGGTTTAACCAACAAACATAACAAAATGTGGTATGATCAACAATTGTATTTAAACGTAGCTCCATTTACAAACCAATACAACTGGAAACAAAGGTATTGCAATAAAAGTAAAAGTAAAATGGAGGTACAAATACAAAGGCACTATAAAAGCAATACAACATAAAGACAGTGATAGTCATATTCAGTTTGCTGCAACAGTGATCAAGCTTCCAAATGAGGCCTACCCGTGAAGGTCCGGGTTAGAATGAACCATCAGTTGCCCATGCTTGTCGTAAGAGGCGACCAACGGGATAGGGTGGTCAGGCAGGCTGACTTGGTTGACACATGTCATCGGTTCCCAATTGCGCAGATCGATGCTCATGCTGTTGATCACTGGATTGTCTGGTCCAGGCTCGATTATTTACAGACCGCCGCCATACAGCTGGAATATTGCTGAGCGCGGCGTAAAACTAAACTCACTCACTCCCAAATGAGGCCTAGGCTGAGAATCCAGGGTGGCAAGTAATCTGCGTGTCTTCTTCTTACATGAGATGTAATGAGAAATGTCTGAGGCAACAACGCGCCCCTTATTTATAGCGTAACTGTTCTGGAACATCTGGGTAAGACAATGCTGGAAAGGCCCTGGTAGTACCTTGTAGTATCTTCTAGAACTATCAATCTAAAATATAGCACAAGTATAAATAGAGCACGCAACTTTGACCTTATGTTGCTTTTATGTTTAAATGTTTCCATAATCGCTACACATACTGAAATTAATTCTTAAGCAATTCTTAATGTTGCAGAATCTTGCCTCAGAAATCACATGTCCACCATTTGCTATGACGTTACCAGCAGTGACTGCAGGTGAGGTGGGCATGCTTCCACGTGCATTACCACGCAGCCTTGTTGCTAACCCTTTTGTAATAATCCTACCGCTGGGATTAAGTAGATTTTGAGCTGAATGCTTATTCTGCATTATCAGTATCACGGATATATAATGCACCAAAGTTTAATCTCCATGGAGACGGTGTGGCAACCGAGTATGCAATGCGTCAGCTGAAGATCTCAGGGTAAACGTTGGGGCATTCTACTCACTAATGTGTTGACATATGTGTATAGACACACTGATTACAAGCACATTTTGTCCATTACATAGTCATCGACCAGGCCGTAAGTAGTGCTTGTTTCATTAGATTGTATGTAACGATGATAATAATTGTCATCATTAACGAACCCATTCAACACTACTCCTACCAGGGATTGCTTGTTAAACTCATAGTTCGAGCGATTAATTCGCGATACAAATACGTAGGACGGAGAAGAAATACGTATTGTCTGTACCTACAGAACGCATTGTTGAGTGCGTGTGTACCGAGCCTTGGCGATGACGTCATCTAAGTTTTTGGCGACAATGCGTTGCCATGACGTCACGTTTCTATGGGCCTCGCAAACAGTGAAAACAATATAACAATTGTTATAATGCTTAGAGAGTATTACTTAGGAAATAAACATCATGTGTTGGCCAATTTCCGGGTGTTATTGAGTATTTGAAGCACGGGAATTCATTTGGAACCGACGGCGTCAGCCGGAGGTTTCAAATGGAATATTCCCGTGCTTCAAATACTCAATAACACCCGGAAATTGGCCAACACATGATGTTTATCGACATTGTAAACACAAAAGTAAACCAAAAGGTCCACACACGTTTTTGTGTCTGCACTCATTGACATCGTGTACGGGTACAGCAGTGAAATGTCATCAACCGGCCGTTTCGGCTGTCTCTCATGGTAGCATCTGGAACTGCTCATTTGTGACGTCATTCGGACTTTACGTCACAATATGATTTGAATGACGTCATCACTGCTGACGACGTAACAATACAATGGTGTGAGCGATGTTTGTATGTATTAATACGCAGCGAATTTCCGGGAATCGAATACCATTTGATCACGTTTTTCAACCAATCAGATTAAAGAACACAGTGACTTTTGGTTTACAATGCATTGTAATCCACGTTTTCTCTGTTCTTTACTGTCAACTCTGCGGTTTTGGTCAAGATGTTGTAATGCAATCGTTGAACTACAACAGAGGATGTTTTGGAAACCCAGCACTTATGATATTTGATATGACAGAAGAATTATAACCACAAATATGTCCCATTATCAATCTCTGCTGAAACCAAAGAGTGAGTGAGTGTGTTTAGTTTTATGTTGCTTTTAACAATATTACAGCAATATCCCAACAGGGGTCACCAGAAATAGGCTTCAGTCTTTGTACCCATGTGGGGAATCGAACCCGGGTCTTCAGCGTGACGAGCGAAAGCATTAACACTAGGCTACCCTACCGCCCCTGAAACCAAAGAACATGGTCCGATTCCGACTATATCATAGGGATGTGTTTATAAATCACTATTGATGTGATACCAGATAAGGATCCCAACCTCATTAGTGCTACCCGTCACAAACACATGTTGTTCCCAAGTCAATTGTTCACTAAGTCTTGGAAAAGACGGGGACAGAAGCCATGAGACAAATAAGGAGTTCCAGTGAACATTTTTTTGGGCCACCGATTCATCAAATTTGAAAATATCTTTCACATGGCTGTCATAAAACGTTTGGAAAGCCTTCCCAAAAAGTTGTTATCCATAAAGGTGTATCCAACGTGCCATACAACGTGCCATACGACGTGCCATACAACGTGCCATACGACGATGCCCTTCGAGAGCAGGTTAGATTTTGCCTCAGAAGAAGTGCAGTGTAGACACCAAAGGATGGAGCTGCTGGAATAACGCTCCAAATACAAATTTACATTGTAAAGATAATCCGCCATTCACAACATAGCGGAAGTTTATTACATGACCATTGAAACTCAGGTGAAAATGAAGTGTGCACCCCCAACCACCCCTTCTAAAGAGTTGCAACCCTCTCCTTCCTCTCTCCTCAAAAAGCTGTATCCGCCATTCACGTGACGATAATGTGTTTAGTAGTGGTGGTCCGATTAATTGAAATAAACGAAGATTGGTCGTAGTGACTAAACGACCAAGCAATCGATCATAATTTCTCATAATCGAACACAACCAATTTTGGAACACTTGTTTTCATTAACAATATTTTTCACATGGTTGGTTTTGTCTGTTACATTTTGTAAGCTCTACAAGCTCGTTTCAAGTCATGATTGAATTTATCTTAAAGGCTCCAAGAAATTTATGTTCCTAACATACTAGTCATCCTTTAAAGATGTGAAATTTTGCCAAAAAGCCCCAAAAGAACTACATGTTTTTTCCCCTTATTTTTATGTGCATTAACAAATTTCATAAATGACGCTAACCAATTATTTTCGATGATTGATCGGTTGTAATGAGCAAATCATCAATTATGAGATTTTAACCAATTCCCAACACTAGTGTTTAGTGTATGTTGTGAAGCACAGACTGGGGGTGGACACCCCCGTCTCACGTGTATGTCGTGCAACTCGTGTTCTCACGAGTCCTGATGTTACTGTGTTCATATCTGAGATCACACTCACCTCACATTTTCATATCTGGTCAAAAATATTTTTCGGAACTGACCGTCCGCACCCTCGCCCCAGTCTCGCAACATCTCGCCAGCAACGTGCTTTGGTAGAACAGACAGTAAAAGACGTTCCTGAAAAAAGATCCAATATATCACAGTGAGTGACTGCGTACAGCTGCACCAGCAATATTGAAAAAAGGTACAGGTTTCAATGGAGTTGATATCATGTCTGATTTGCAATGTCCCAAAAGGACTGGATGGAAGAAGCTGAAATAGTTGTGTGGTTTATTTTTACTTAACGCTACATTTAAAGTTTGTTTGTTGTTTAACGCAGCACTCAGCAATATTCCAGTGACCAGTCAATCCAGTGATTCCATCATGGCGCATTTAGCAGTATTCACGGCATGTATTGGGAATAAGTGATGTAAGTGACATGTATCAGTCATTATAAAGTATCACTTTGGAAAATCAAATGAACTCGGGTATGTTGATGACAAATCGGTCAGCTTAATATAACCGAACCGGGATTTCGAACCCACAATCATAGGTTCCTGGACCTAGACAAGGGACGCAACTCTGTACACATAGGCGGATCCGGGGTGTGGGTGTGTGGGTGTTTCAGGAGTGCGCATCCCCCCCCCCCCCTTTTTTTCCTGAAATCGTATTAAATGACTATTGAAAACGGGTGAAAATGAAGTGTGTACCCCACACCACCCCTTTCTCAAGAGTGTGCAACACACACACCCCACCCCCACCCCTTTTAAAAGCTGTATCCGCCCCCGATACACCGAAATGGCTATGTGATATGATCCGGATGGGTGACTTTTCTGTATTGTATCCACCCAGACTACCTTCTCTATAGGCACTAGCATTGACGTCGTATCATAATTCATTGTAGTATTTCTCATTTGTCTCTGCACAGAAAAGGAAATTGCTGTTACCATGACTGCAATATTGAATACACCATATTTAATGACAGGTGATGTGTGTCATGATAGGTGATATCACTCGCCGTAAGTCCATATAAGGTGAGTGGATGTCACGTGTGATAAGAATAGAGATGAATGAAGCATCGAGTACACCTGTCCTCCACACGTGTATAACTGAATGATGTTGACAGTGTTGTGTACATAGAGAATACATACATTACATACGAATTATACGAAACGAGTGTCCTTCCTATGGTACAGTAAACTACGCCGCAGCACCCCGTTTCTTGGTTTGCAGTTGCTTCATTCGGCTAACATCACTGGTGGAAACATTGCGCTTATGTTTTTCGACGGATATAATGTCTCAGTTCGACTCACAATTAAACAGCGACACGGCAAACGTTCGCAATGTTTACATTTCCACAATGCATTTAAGTTATAGAATGAATGAATTCACGTGTTTGTTATGAATGAAAAAATAGTTACGTCAGAATGTGACCTAATTGAGAGGTCATCGGTTATCCAATCAAATTGTTAGAATCTCAGGTCAATTTGTTACGACACAGGTCAACGCGATACGACACTCGTGTGACGTACGAGATTAGTATGCAACTACCCATACGTTGACCACGTGGGTAATAAAGGCGGATGTTGACACAACACAACAAGGGGGCATAAGGTCACAAGAAACCATCTGTTTTCGGACGATTCTATTTTCGTATAATACGTGTCAATGTACTTGTTGATGGGTTTTTTCATACCCGTGAAGATCCGGGTTAGAATTGGTCTAGATCGATGCTCATGCTGTTGATCACTGGATTGTCTTGTCCAGACTCGATTATTTACAGACCGTCGCCATATAGCTGGACTGCCTGGCTGACTGAGTTTGGTTTTACGCCGCTTTTAGCAATATTCCAGCAACATCACGGCGGGGGACACCAGAAATGGGCTTCACACATTGTGCCCATGTGGGGATTCGAACCCGGGTCTTCGGCGTGACGAGCCAACGCTTTAACCATTAGGCTACCCCACCGCCCCCGTATAGCTGGAATATTGCTGAGTGCGGCGTTAAACAAGCTATTTTCCTAATTATATATTAAGCTTTGTAGTAATATGCGCCTCGGTCTTCAGCAATCCATCACTGTCCTAAGAGACAACTAACAGGATGGGTTCACAGACCTGGTTGTCGCCTGTTATCGTAAGCGAATTGCTTAGTTCGATGCTCATGATGTCAATCACTGGATTGTCTGGTCCAGAGTCAAATATTTACAGACCGTCATCACTTAACTGGAATATTGCTGAGTGCGGCGTTAAAGGACAAACTAACTCAAATTTCATATCATATTCATTTCTACCATGACGACAAGAGCACATAGACAACAGTATGCTCTTGGAATGCATGCTCAGAAATGGACATACCGGATAGCCGAGTAGCCACGTGCCGAAAAGTGGTTATGTGCCGAAAAGCGGCGACGTAAATAAATAAATATATGTATATAAATAATAATACTCAGGTTAAAGTGAGTATGGCCTTACGCTGCTTTTAGCAATGTTCCAGCAATATCACGGCTGGGGACACCAGAAATGGGCTTCACACATTGTACCCATGTGGAAAATCGAACCCGGGCCTTCAGCGTGACGAGCGAACGTTTTAACCACTAGACTACCCCACCGCCCCGTTACTTAGGTTTACGATTAACGTGACTAGACTTGATTATTCCTGACTTGTTGGATAGAATGGTTACACAACACGCAAGGAATTGGTGAAATTACAGTACTTCTCAGATATATACTTAATTTAATCGCAGCTTGTTGCATATTATCACTGCGTTTTGAATCCTGTTTTGGAAATCAACACAAAATCTTATACTGTCGGGATGTCAGGTTAAAGATTAAGGAGAAAAATACATTGAGCTAAATTCTACAATTGCCTTATCGTAACCAAGGCAACGAGTTGGAATCGGGTTTGCTGAATTAAGACTATTTTCGGGCCCTGTGACGTTGCTGGAATATTGCAGCCTGCTTGTATAACATTCGGTGTCACTTCCTCGTTCAGTTCTATTTCAGTGTGGTTCAGTGTTACCTGTTGTTTTGATTCCTTCTCGATGGTGACCTTGACACTCAGTGAAGACTTGGTCTCGACGAATGACCTTCTCTGTTGTTTGTCCAAGAAGACGTACGACATGATACCGAGCGCGTGAGAACAGGTCACAAGCAGGATGTTGGCTCCTACCTGTCAACAACAATAAATGTCTGGACACTGGGCATTCAAACAGATAAGGACATCGATCACATCCGTACTAATGGAGCTAATGGAACCTTTCAGTTAATCACTGACTATTGGTAGTGCGACGCCATTGTTTACGGTCATAGTGCAGAATACCCGTGAACATCCGGGTTAGTATTCGTCTTCAGTAACCCATGCTTGTCGTAAGAGGCGACTAACGGGATCGGATGGTCAGGCGCGCTGACTTGCTTGACACATGTCATTGTATCCTAATTGCGCAGGTCGTAGCTGTTGGTCACTGGATTCTCTGGTCCAGGCTCGATTATTTACAGACCGCCGCCATATAGCTGGAATGTTGCTGGGTGTTGCGTTAAACAACAACCCAACCAATTGTGCTCTCACTGCCATGCCTTCACGTGTAAACTACCAGCATCGGTATTCCAATTGCTCCATTGTCATTGTAGAAGGCTTTGAACATATATATAGATATATTTTACACCCTAGGGTAAGCGAGAGGGAGTGAGTATTGTTTAAGGCCGCATTGTAATTTTTCAACTTTTCGGCGGGGAGCCTAGAATGTCAAATAGTCGATCCCGAGCTACCAATTTACCAAAACACACAAACAAACAAAATACGAAACTAACAAAGCAACAAACCTGATTTCCTAGAAGAGTGACATTGTTCGTGTTCTGGGTCCAGATGATACTAACAGCACACACGTGACCTACACTGAACAAACATGCGAGCAAAATACACAGCGCAAGCGTAACCGGAAGCATTACATAGGTCAAGTACACGAGCACCACAATCCACGTGACTCCCTCGCTGGGTAAACCTGAGTTTGAATTCCAAGACAAGTCGAAAAATATTTGAATGATTAATAACATCCAGATCACATACGCCACATTAGATCGCACTGCCACCGATATCCTCTGGATGTGGCACAGAACAAAAATGATTATATTCACAAATAAAAGCAATGCAACTATAGCTATTTTGGTAATTTCGTTTTCCGAATATTTCAGAGTGGCCATGACGAGCACATAAACGTCGAAGATAGATGAAAAAAACACAAACGAATCGATCAGATCCAGTTTCTGCCGTTTATAGTAAATACGATATAGCTTCTCGTCCATGTTGTTCCGGAAGTGGGTGAATAACCGGCCAGTAGGATCGTTTTGCATCACTTCCGGGTCTTTAAGGGGCCCCACGCGGGCGTTCATTATGTGCATGACCTTCACCGGAACATCGATGACTATGTCAGAGACCTTGCTGTTGTCAGAGACGTCGCCATTCGTCATGTTGAGGAATTCCCTGAATGACCAGCTGGTTCATCAGCTAGCGTTATGGTGGGTAATAATCTTTGATAAAACCATGTTTCTTTTGTTCCCGGGGGTTCAAATGACGCCAGTTGCATCGAAATCGGGAATCACAAAACAACAACAGCCTCCAAACACAAAATTTTCACGTATTTCCTTTGAAATGATATCTTCTTATTCATGGTGAAATGAACATATGTATATGTTAATGTTCTGCCACATGATTGACATATCCGGATGCCCTGTTGATCACATTAGGTGAGTCAAATGATCCAATCCATTAGTGTAACGCAATACTCAGACCCATTAGGGAATTTTGTGCTTGAAACTGTTTCCTCCATGTTGTATCTGCAACAAAAAAACACACGATGATAATACAAAATTATTGATTAACCTGAAAAACCATAAATCGTTTTCAGTATCAGTGGTTTAAACGTGACTAGCAGTGATATTAGCTTTTATCAAAGATGACTGTATTTAACGATCTTTTAGAAGTCGATGACTCGAAATCGCTAACAGTTTTCAGACATGCAAAATGCTGCAATGTCCATTAAGTAGACCTCTTTAAAAACTTGCATTCGTCGACAGCTGTTTCGGGGTCTTTGTTTCACGAAGCTATCGTAGCGCTACGACTGTCGTAAGTCTATGTTACAGTGTTGGAGGTAACATGGTGGAAGATGCCAATCATTTCTTTTTTAAATGTCCAAAGTATGTCAGCTGCCGGTTTGATTTGATACAAGGTTTAAAATCCTAAAAGTTATCTTAGATATTAACACCATTCTGTAGGCAGCCTTAGTCTGCCACAAACTATAAAGAAATATATTTTTAGTCAAGTCCATAAATTCATTGTACGTAGTAAGCGATTCAATTAATGTTTAATATGTCTGTTCATTGTCCATTACAGGGTATTTTTTCGGGAGCGGGCTTTAATAAGGTGAATAACTTGTGCCCAACCTCATTCAATGCTGACTAAAATATGTTCAAACAATAGGAGGTACGACAGTCGTAGCGCTACGACAGCTGTGTGAAACGGGGCTCAGATGGATATACATGTAGTTACCCTTGCGTGTGTTGCTATTCACAAAGTTGAATTGTATCACCTCTGAATGTCCTTTGCGGGATTTCTTTTTCAGGTCAATAATTCCTTTGTCTTTACATGTGTTTGTGACGGGCACTGGCTTAGCAGGGAAAGGGCAGGTTTTAGGGACCACCTGGTGTCATTGGAATGACAAGTCTTTATGAATGATCAATTTCTTTATTGTGCAATAGCGACGTTTCGGTATAATACGCAGGGCTCCAGATAAGGGCCGTATCGACGTGTCTACGGCTGAAAAATATGCACGATACGGTAGGAAATAATTTAGAAAACGTAGCAGATACGCACCACAGCAATGGTGTACGGTCTCAGAATCATTTACGGAGGTATTTATCTGAAAACGTATTATTGTATTGTTTATTTCCCCACTGACACAAGAGTAGCAATGTTGTAGTGCATATATGAAACGAAACGCAAGATTACTGATAGTCCATTAAATTCCATTCAGTTCACGAAATATACTCTCTCTCTTCTTTGTGTGTGTGTGTGAGAGAGAGAGAGAGGGGGGGGAGAGAGAGGGCTAACAAAACAAAGGATGATAACCCAGATGATTAACGGAGCGAGTGAGTTTAGATTTACGCCGCGCTCAGCAATATTCCAGCTATATGGCGAGTCTGGGCCAGACAATCCAGTGATCAGCAGCATGAGCATCGATCTGCACAATTGGAAGCCAATGATATGTGTCAACCAAGTCAGCGAGCCTGACCACCCGATTCCGTTAGTCGCCTCTTACGACAAGCATGGGTTACTGAAGATTCATTCTAACCCGGACCTTCACGGGTCCAGATGATTAACAATGGAAACAAGCATAATTCTACATGAGACAAGCCGAGGCAAGAAAAAAGGATGATGAATAGGATACCAATGAGGGTGGGGATGACTAACTGGGCTGTCATCTCTATCTGGTGGCGACTCAAAAAACACATGCTCTATATGATATAGTCGGGATGGTGCAGTGTACATACGTTTAATGACAATGAAAATGTTCCAGTTATAACGTTTGGCATTTAAAAGCTTTGATAGTTCTGACAAATACATACATGTAGTAGGGATCGTACTTAAAATTAATGACTTGTTTTTTGTCACTGTGGAGGGACTGGGCTTCTGGCTTCAAGTCTGCATACATTACAGTATATATATAAATTATATTACATCAGCTCACAGCTGCCATGGCTACAGAGGGATAATGTCTCAGCTCCAACCTACTTATAGTGAGTGAATATGTTTTTTACGCCGTTTTTAAGCAATAATCCAGCAATATCACTGCGCGGGACACCACAAATGGACTTCACACATTGTGCCCATGTGGGGACTCGAACCCAGGCCTTCGGCACTAATAGCTCAGCTCAACACAAGACTGCGGAGCACATGCCCACCCCGCAGCCTTACGCACCCTACAAACACCGCACATTTAGTAGTGTTTGTTTGCTGTTTAACACCACGCGCAGCAATATTCCAGCTGTATGATAGAAGTCTGTAAACACCAGCCAACCAGTGAGTGACGCCTTAAACATCAATTCACGCAACTGAGATGTGATTGGTAGATCAACCAAGTCTGCGAGTTAGTCGCCTCTTACGGAAAAGATTGGTCGTTAAAGACCTACTCTAGGAAACTCATCACCGGGGAGTATTCTTGGTCCCAGGGTCCAGGATAGCTATTCTCGAAACGTTCGTAACCCTACGAACTTCGTAAGCCCATTCTTAACACAGTGGCTACGATCAAAGTTAAGAATTCTTAGGGCTACGAACGTTTCGAGAATAAGGGTCCAGATCCGTTCCTCAAACTTTTAACAAGACTTACGACTGTCGTAGCGCTACGATCGCTTTATTCTTAGCTATTACGAAACGTTCTACGAACTTCTTAAGCCATTCTTAACACATTAACTACGATCAAAGATAAGAATTCTTAGGGCTACGAACGTTTCGAGAATAAGGGCCCAGGCTACGACATCTGTAAGCCTTTAATAAACCATAGAGTTACGACAGGTCGAAACGTTACGAACGCTTTGGGGATCGGGACCCGTATATTCAGAATAACATATCAAATTAATGTTACAGTATCAAATTAATATTACAGTATCAAATTAATGTTACAGTATCAAACTAATCAAGTATGCGCCAACATAGAAACAACAACTCACTGACTGCCAGTAAGGGTTCACTCGCGTGCATAGGTTGTCGTAGGAATTCAAAGTATCTGGTAAATATTGTCGCTGCCAATGTCTACCACTCTGGAAACAGCTGTGACTTCCATGTCCAATCTAGCAATTTTTTAATCAGGATCGCAGGTATTCAGAAACTGATCGTGCTATCGGTTTGCTCAGTTGTGCTATTGATAACGTTCTTTTCAAGTATCAGCCTGTCGGTATTTTGTCAAAAGAACAATATTTTAACAGATCCACATGCCACCACGTGACTATAATATATTGTAATATATTAAACTGTACATTCGTTGTAGCGTTTACCAACAGGTCAAGGTCGGAGAATCACGAGTTCCGGAACAGATTCGATTGGCCGTAAAATGAAAAACAGCAGTGAAACGTGTTGAATGTTAAGGAGTTACTTGTGTTTCTGGATGCAGATGGCGCCATAGCGTGTGTAAAAAAAAGAACAGTTAATATCCCTCGAATATAAAACATTGGAGCACCTTATGCCGGAACTACTTTCACATTTTCACAAAAACATTGGCAAAACAATATCAAGTTTGAAGGTCACTCAGATGACATGTCATCAGACAAGTGAAGAACAATCTACCATATATACACACGCATAGTGATGTACCTAATTACTTGTCGTAGAGACCCGCTAGAGAGAGAGAGAGAGAGAGAGAGAGAGAGAGAGTGTGTGTGTGTGTGTGTGTGTGTGTGTGTGTGTGAGATATATATATGCCGCATTATTACCTGTACGTCGACGTGCAATGAAGGTTGTCAGCAATTGAATATCAGATTTGAAAGAATTAAATTCATAAAAAAATATTGTTCAAACTTAAACTTGTAGTGGAATCATTATTCTAGAAATACACCTATCTGTTGTGAACTCCATGCCACCTAACTGCCAATCAAACGGTTGCTGAGACAAGGAGCATCTTACCACCGCCATTTGTCAGTGTCGCGCGGTGAGGTGACAGTTGGTGCAGCTTGTAATCTGCCGATTGATTTCTTACTCCCTAATCACAATGTATCTTATGGTAAATTGTGGTGCTCATCAGTCGTTCCTGAGAAAGACGACCTTAAGGATATAATTTTATTGAATACATTTCCGTTAAAACTGCTTTGTCATCGTGACTTTGGACAAAAGAAGCGTCCATTCGTTTATTGCATACTAAGAGGCAAAAGGTATTGTGAGTGAGTAAGTTTAGTTTTACGCCGATTTTAGCAATATTCCAGCAATATCATGGCGGGGGGACACCAGAAATGGGCTTCGCACATTGTACCCATGTGGGGAATCGAACCCGGGTCTTCGGCGTGACAGGCGAACGCTTTAACCATTTGGTTATCCCACCGCCCCAAATGATATTGTGATTTGAGTGTTTTCATGGGTAATGTTATGAATGATTTGAACCAGAGAAAGTGTTAAAGGGTCGAAGAAACTGCAATTATTGTTTGAATTGCACGGAAATCGCAAAAAGCATAACACATTCGCGAAAAATGGCAAGCAAATTGCTTGTGAACCCCCTCTTGTGTCACAAGGACTTTTACCCATTATAACGTTTTACGTATATATACTGAGGAGGGGGGGGGGGGGAATAAGAGATAAAAAAAAAATAACATGAAAGCACAAGTGTCCCTTTATTTGTTTCCAGTTTTTCTTCACAAGCTATGCGATACAACACTTGTGAAGAAACCTCGATTCATGTGATCCCCTTATTTTTGTCCCTCAGTATATAATGACTGTCAGCAAACTATAAAGTGTTATTGTGTTATGACAGCTTATACAGTATTTGATTGAATATGAATAATAACAGTTCGATCTCCTAGGCTACTGTTCGGACACACAATATTGAAACGCTAACATGAAACTTCTCTTTCAAACACGTATTTTCTTTATGACATATGCGATGCGAGATATCTACATAGTCACTTTGTAGGTATAGAGAAACAAATAACTATTAATGCCAGTGATCATGTACTTTAGGAGAGATAAAAATTCACTCCTACCACGGTTTTGCAACCCGCAAATTTCCTGTAAAACTGTACTAAACTGATTAGTGATAATACAAACACATGGAGGGACACTGGAGATATACTATGTCAATAACACAAAAGGTATTCCACAATGTTTTATAACAATGGGTGCTGGGTGAAAAAACGACATTGGGCGTGGTCTTAATTTGAATGGATTTAGTGGTGTGTACACACGTTTTAGGGGATTGTTTGTGGTTATTTTTTCCCAGGGAGCATTAAATACTTCACATACACATTTTACGGTTATCGTGTCAAAACATCTTTCTGTAGCACATTCACTATGTCCTGACTTACTGCTTCAATCACAGAATCATTCCTGCGAACCCCCTTGAATGTGACTGCTTTGGGAATTCAGTATGACAATACAGTCCTAGCAACATAGATTAACAATCTTTATATGAGTGGACCAAAAATTCATATTATTGATATTTTTAAAACGTAGTCACGCCATCAAGGTCACCCGTCAATGCTGTTAGATTTGCACAGAGCACAATGTACACATTTCACACTTATCTTGATGATGTTATATAGACTCACGAATGGTCATTGATGGCGCTGTAGAATCTTCCAAGGAGACGGCATTGTAAGTAGGAAATAATTACGAATTTGTTGTTTGCATATATTTAACTTTTTTGTAATCATAACCTTTTTTTTAGAAACAGCTATCGAAGGACACATTCTACGCATGGAATTGAAAAACTAGAACAGTATGTAGGCAATGTAAGTAGGAAATAATTACGAATTTGTTGTTTGCATAAAATTAACATTTTTGTAGATTATACCTTTTTTAAAAACAGCTATCGAAGGACTACACATGGAATTGAAACACTAGAATAGTATGTATTGTTTAAGTATTTTAGTGTTACCTGTGTCTTTGTTTCATGTGTACAGGTAAGGGGACCTTGGACCTCTTGCACTGACCGAGTTCCAAGACAAGTCTAAGCCTACACTGAAGAATACAAGCATATCAATCAATCTAGCGCTTCATAACGGGGCTGAATCATATCGCCCATGGTCCCTAGTATGGTGATCTACGTTCAGTTGTTGGCAACCTATTCACTTACGGCTTTGGTCATGTTTGGATACAGCAGGGAGTAGGTAATATTGATTTATTTTTAAAGCTATTTAAGAAAAGGTTAATTGATTATGCCAAGCAAGACTGGCATGCACAACTTACATACAAAACCTCGTTACAGTTATATTCTATTATTAAGTCATCACTTACTACAGAATTGTATATCTTTGATCTTAATAATATTAAATATCATAAAGCACTGCTTATCTTCAGAAGCTGTTACAACAGGCTAGGAATACAATGTATTAGAAAAGGTTTTTGTGATTATGAAAGCTCTGATTATAAATGCGCTTTATGTAATGTAACGGAAGATGAAATACATATTTTATATAAATGTCCAATGTATCAAACTCTTTCTATTGTCGATGAACGATTTCTAGTTGATTCATTTCCCTGTATCCCAATATTTCGCTCCCATACATCAAAATTGGTACAATCTTCATATCGAATATCTTAAATGAATCACAAATATTTATATCATATTCACGAATAGGACGTTTTATAGGAAATAACGCTTTGTTCGCTTGTTGTGCTAAAATTGTACAAGCTCTTGCCCAAACAAGTTTAGGTGTCACTATAATACCCAGATACTTGTAGGCATTAACTTCTTCAATGTCTGTACCATTATATGTCCATTTATCAAATCTAGATAGCCCACCCCCGTTTCGGAAAACAATCACTTTAGTTTGTCAGTATTAATCTCCCTGCACCATTTACGACAATAACTATGAAGAAAATCTAATTGTTTTTGCAACTTGAGAGATGTATCAGCCACTAAAACGATATCATCTGCAAAGAGTAACGATAAAATATTATACATGTCTTCCGATATAAATATTCCATGATCAAACATTTCACTCATAGATTCAGACAGTTCCTTAATAAATATCGCGAAAAGCAAGGGACTAAGAGCACACCCCTGTCTAACCCTGTTGAAACAACTGAAATAATCAGACAGTTTCCTCCCTTCAATTACAACTGCTGATTTTATCTTGTTGTACAAGGTTTGGAGAACTTTAAATATGTTTCCATGTATACCATTTTTCAAAAGAAGATATAGAGAAGCTTTTTCCTATTTACCATGTCAAACGCCTTTTTAAAATCGACATATGCGCAATATAATTTTCCCTGTTTTTATCACGGCTTATCATCTGCTTATCATTGCCAAGTTACAATTTATTCCAAAATAATGTATTCGAATATGTAGATATGACGAATATGTACGAAATTCTTGTCCTCCTTTTCCCACTCCTTATCCGGGAGAATATATTCGCTTGTATGAGATAATATTTCGGCAGAAACTTCAGACATTTATATATGTTTTCACATCATTGAAGGCGGCCCATTCGTTTTAGATGGAAAAAACCCATAAAACCCAAACTCTCGCCAGCAACGTATAACGCATCTTTTGTTAACAAACTAAGGCATTATAACGTCTTATTGGAGAAACGAGGTAATGATATATGTGTTACCATACATTAAAATGTTGTGGGGGGAAATGAAAAATCGTATAAAATAGTTTTTTGACAGTCACAACTTAGTACATCTTTGTCACATAAGGTCCATTTGGTGATGCTTTTTTAACCAGGCAAGAGGAGGGTGTTTCTCATCTTCATTATATTTGTCATTATATAACAAAATAGACGTATCCAACATTATCCAAAACATTATAGACAGTGATAGTATTCGAGTGTATAGAAACAGGGTTTAAGGGCAACAGGGCTCCCAGAACTTATTTGTTTCAGACAGTCGGAATAAGGTCGTTCAAACACCACACTTTGTATGTTAACTTAGATTGTATGGTGTGGATCAGTCTGGGAGTTAACGAATACCCTAATTACAAGTATTACAGTGTGTCGGATCTACATAGAACCTACAACTCTAGACCAGGGGCTCCTTTCACGAAGTAACCTTTACTAAAGTTAACCATAACTCCCATGCATTCTTTAACATTGCACTAAGGTTACCTTAGTGACTCACGATCACCTTAGTGCTTTGTGAAAGGAGGCCCCGGACTTGAAGTCGACCCCAGGACACAGTGTTCCCTAATTATGACCTCTCACACAACTAAACAATTACTTTAGACAGTTTTCACTGAAACAATCAACCGGTAAGACCATCTCAAACATTAACAAAGGTTAAAATATGCCTACTTACCATGCATTTGAGGCATCATTCCAAATTTAAGTAAATCCCAAAGTCATATACTCCAAATTAATTCCACCGTGAGCCAAAACACACCGCATGTACTCAAACTGACCATTGTCCAGACATCATGGATACAACAGTAACAGTTGAGGCGATGACCACTTGAGTGTGGCGTGCGACCTTTACGCCAAACAACGTTGTTGTAAACGACTTCAGTATTCATCCGTGTACCACCTTGTAATAGGAAACTGTGTACACGCTGCAAACATCGTTCTTCTTACTGGCACTCATCTGAATCAAAGAGCATATGAAGCAACCCTCGACTGCGGGGGTCACCTATGTACGTCCATTATAGATAGCCACCTGGACACAGTGAGAACATTTGTACCCACGACTCGGTAGCCCTACGGCTAACGCTCAGGTGAGAAGAGCTACCATCACTACCTGTGGTCTCGTCCTCAGCGAGATCGATATCACTCATGCCGTTACATCACGACGCTGTGTGCCTGGGCAGTTTCTCGCGTCTATAACGCTTATTAGTGGTTAGTTTGTTTAAAGTCGCAGTCAGTCGCGTTCCAGCTAATGATCCCAGCCTATAAACATTGGGGTCTGGACCACATTAGCCTGTGATTACCGTAATGGTCACTCCGTTCGCTTAACACACGAGCGTATATGTATAGCTTTGGTGGTCATTTTTAGCCCCGAGTGCACAAGTTTTTCTTTTCGTGAATTATGTTTTATGAATGCAGCAAGGCGCCCCTTTTACTATCGGGCTGGTTAAACTCGTCATCAGCTCAGGGTCCTTACCCCTTTCCCATTCAGCCCAGACAGCAAATGGGACTTCTACCAGGATAGTGCCTAGTCGAGCCTAGTCTGTCTCACAGTCCCCAAACACATTATTTTCCCTACTGCCTAGACCCCCTGCTAAAGTCCCAAATGAAGCAAGTCTAGATTTCCTCAGGATCTGAATCTTCCATCTCACTGGGGCTGCTTTTCCATTTAAATGGGTCTATTAATGTTACTGTCAAAATTATATATATTCATAGACTAAGTGTTAGTGTAAGTCGAGCCCACTAAGAACGTACCGGAACTCTCGAACACTGCAGCCTTCTGCATTACCCAGAGATGAGTCAGAAGGGCTACGTTCCTTGCAGCAAATCCGGGTAGTTCTTCCACTTTGGTACTGCTAAGAGATCGGGATGTACCAAACCAAGAGTACAAAAATAGGGAGCAGGGCCTCCTTTCACAAAGCACTAAGGTGATCGTAAGTCACTAAGGTAACCTTAGTGCAATGTTAAAGAATGGGAGTTAAGGTTAACCTTAGTAAAGGTTGCTTCGTGAAAGGAGACCCAGGAAAACTTGCAAGCGTGACATTTCGTAGGCGACGTTCACATATTAGCAATGTTTTCATTGAAGCTTGTCAATCACATTAGTGTCAAAGGGGGCTGAAAATTCAATGACGCAAATAATTTCAAAATTTATCAAAATGGACAAGGTGAGTTTTTATTGGCTTAGATACGTCTGATTCTGTAAAAAGGCCTATTCCAAAGATTTTTATTATTGTCATTTTACAGGACGCTATCTCCCTAGTAGTAGCTAAAACCAATGACAAAAAGCACCTTAATATTACAACATACACGGACATAAAACAGAAAGGATCTCCCCAACCAAACTGGTTGTCTAGTATCTTTGGATACACATTTGGATCTTGTAAGTGATTTATATACTTGTACAAGTACAAGTGAGCACGGGGGCGGTGGGGTAGCCTAGTGGTTAAAGCGTTCGCTGAAGACCCGGGTTCGATTCCCCACATGGGCTCAATATATGAAGCCCTTTCTAGTGTCCGCCGTGATATTGCTGGAATATTGCTAACAGAGGAGTAAAACTAAACTCACTCACTCACAAGTGAGCCGGTGTTATTCCTCGATACACAGGTATATAACAACTGTATCACGATGTCCTTCAGAAAATCGAGTGGGAATAAACCAGGGGTTGATAGTATGAACATGTATGTCGCTAATCACGGTGTGTGTTCTGGGTATATATAGAGCAAATGTCAGAGCTTAGATTGACTGTTACCTTCGTTAACACCGAAGTGTTTATGAACTGAATCTCTTTCATATATTCAGCAAATGTTATATTTCGGATTACAGTTTCTCAGTGACATACAGTTTCTAGTACACGTGGGATTGAGTACCACGTGGGATTCGAACCAACTCCATCAGAGTGAGTCTCCTAAGCACACGAAGTCAGCGATCCTACCCCCTCAGCCACCGGGGCTTCCACAAATATGGAAGTCTTATAACTGGTAGACCAGATCATGTACTTTGTGTACCACTCTGACAAAGGAAAAATGACACGAAGGCATGGCAAGTCGAAATACAGAGTTACGTCCCTTGGACTTGACGGGATGCGTACGATCGTGGGTTCAAATCCCACAATCGCCCTGATTATGACCCTTGGTTTGTCAGCACCATACCCTATACTCAAAACACTCACTGGGATGGCTCTTAAAATAGGTCGTGCTCTTTGAAGTATAGCAAACAATACTATACGTGTAAAGGTGTAGAACATTTGACGTAAACAAGTACACCACATTTCCTTGTCGTAAAACACAATTAAATTATTTTGGAACTTCCTGTCAAGACTTCAGTAAGCACCGGTCTTCAACAACCATTGCTTGTCGTGTAAGAGACCACTAACGGAACCAGATGGTCTGGCTCGCTGACTTTGTTGACTCATCGCATTAGAGTTGCGTAGATCGATGCGCATTGTGTTGATCACTGGATTTTCTGGTCCAGACTTAACAGAACGCCGCCATATAGCTGGAATATTGCTGAATGTGGCGTTAAACAACTAACAAGAAAACAAAATCGGTAAAGCTTTTTGAGAAAAGGAGGGGTGCAAATTTCATTTTCACCCGGGTTTCAATGGTCATTTAATAAACTTTCAGGACCCAAAAAGGGGCGCACCCCAACAGCCCACCTCTGGATCCGCCTATGAACACGCAGAGCAAACTCGGAAATTACAGTTTTCAATAAGAGTTTGGAGGTGAAAATACAAGTCGATACCCACACAGCGGCTAACTGTGCCCTTCTACATCCCGGTAACTACGTCATGCGGCTAATCTAGAGAGCTAAATCACACCTTCTGTGTTCTCTGCTCCCTTCATCAAGCTGTTTTTGTTAACACCACCAACAGGCTCGCCAAAATATGAAAGTTCCGACGTCACTATATTAGGAAGATTGACGCAGTATGTCTTACGTAACTGCTAGACAAAAGTGTACGCTAGAGGATAGCTGCGGCCAAGAGAGAGAGACAGAAGAGGGAGGCGGGAGAGAGGGAGAGAGTGAGAGTGTGTGTTGTGTGTTTGGCGGGGTTCATTATCACATTATCACTGTTTCCCATGACAATATGTATTCGCATGGCGATTATTTACGTTGTGCCACCCGAATCTTGCTAAAAACTACGCTAATGGGGCTTTCATCAAATAAGTATATAGATTTGATACACCCGGTGATAGTAAATCCAAGGCCAGTGCTTTCTAATTAGAGTATCAAACATTGCAAGCATGCTAATGTGTCATTCGTATACACATACAGCATCATTTTCCCTTATCGTAAAACCCAATTAAATGACTTTCGAACGTCCTGTCAAGACTTTGGTAAAGATGCGGGTTAGAAAGTGGCGATTAACAGGATCGACCAGTTGCATAGATCGATGCCCATGCTGTTTGTTGATCACTGGATTGTCTGGTCAAGACTCGGTTATTTACAGACCGCCGTTATACAACTGTAACATTGCTGCGGCGTTAAATATCAACCAAACCCAAACCAAATCAATTTTTTTTTCTGGTGAAACTATCAGGGGCAGATACAGTTTTTGAAATGGGGATTGCACACATGAGAAAAGGAGGGAATCACACTTCATTTTCACACGAGTTTCAATGGTCATTTAACACACTTTCAGGATCCGCCTATGCCTATCTTTCACGATTTCGGGAGGCAATCATTGTAAGAGACTCGCAACATTCTGATTCTTTTATGTCCGCTTCTATGTATAATTTGACACGTATACGGACCAATTTCGTAAAAACGAAAATACCGATGTTTCCATAGACGCCTCTGGGTGAAACTAATGAAGAGAAATTCGACTTAGTACACAGAAACCATGCTGGAAGATGTTTGTGTTGATGTTCAACGCGGCACTAAGCAATACTCCATCCACACGACCCTGGTCTGCAAAAAGAAAACAAAATCGAGTATGGACCAGACAATCCAGTGACTGACATCACCAGTAACGATCCACGCAACTTGAATACATTGATACGCACTCAACCATCCGAATGTAACAATCCGATTCATGCAGATGCGCACATGCACAGGTTGCTGAAGAGTGGGGACCAGTTATGATACTTTATGGATGCCAACTCTTATCATATTATGTGACCGCCTCCGTGGTGTAGTGGTTAGAGCGTCCGCCCAGGGAGCGGAAGGTCGCAGGTTCGATGCCCGACCGCGTCATACCAAAAGACGTTAAAATATGGTACTTGTTGGTCCCTGCCTGGCGCTCTGCATTAATGGGTACAACAAGGACTGGTCGGCTCGGAGTCAGTATAATGTGTCTGAGTGGGGTATTCATGCTTCACTGCGGCATGGTGTCTCAGTCATATTGAAACCAGCTAAAGTCTGGGCTAGTACAAGCAGCCGCACATACACATACACACGCATGCACGTCGTCATATTGAGCGAAATTTTCTCAAGCACAACATTCAACCCAATTTCACCTCACCTCACCACATAACTATTTTATTCATCAGCTTTAAAAATGCCGATAAATCACATCACTCTGAACATCACGAGGGATTTTCATTTGTATTAATAATTAATAACATAACCTCACGAAATATGTAACACATGTAGTAAACAGTTAAATTGTAGTGATGACTTGTAGGATATTGTAACACGTGTCATGACACAGACATATGTCAATATTAGGGAATGCGGCAAGATAACAATGACATCTCGGGAAGCGAACAGATACCTTGTCACAGGTGTGCAGATAATGTGGCATGTAAACAGATACAGTAATATTTGATTTCTCCAGGGAGACTATAAATTAAGAGTTGTAGAGTGTCCCTGATTTCTCTTGAGTTATTTACAGATGGTATATATTATAGCGCATCGAAAATACCCAATGTGACGTTATCGATGGTACGATAACAAAATAACCTTGATATTACAATATGAGACATAGACTTGCATCCACAACGGACCGATAATATAAATGAACATATCTACACATTGAGCGACAGATCTTGATCGCGTTTGCGTTATGCGTCGGATTTGAATGTCATGTGACATAAGAGATCATGTGACGCTCACATGATCATTGCTGCGGCGCTAGTTCAAGATGGCGGATGTCGGGGAAAGCTGTAGGCATTTGTAAGAATGCAAACAAGGTGCTATCTCACAGAAATCCTCTCAACAATGACTCTACGATAACGCTCGTCACAGAGATTCGGACATTTTACAAAGCTTGGATGCAATGGCGTCAAATATGAGGGTCTTCTCAGATCTATTCAGCTGGCGTAGAACGACAACTGTTCAAAAAATGCTTGTGATAGCCGTTGGATTAGTAATTGTATCGTTCTTATCAAATTTCTGGTCATTGTGTGTGGCATATCTTCTTGCGTTACCGTTTACATGGAAACTACTTCATCTCATCATGAAGCGGAAGACCCCGGCTCCTTCTGACAAGCTCTTGTTAGCTTTGCAGACGATCAACAGAGTGAAACAAGGTATCCTCGCCTTGGGTTCACCCCAGAAAGAAGTAAAAGAAAGATCACCGTCTTACAAAGACACCAAAGGAACGGCTCCTACTTATGGTGTTGACATCGGGCGTGCAAAAGATGTGTCAACTTTGAGAGGTCAAACTATAGAGGGTGAAGTCAGTATTTTTGTAAAATATGTCATAAGAGACTTTGTTCAGTCATGGTATGAGGACTTTAGTCATGATGCTCAGACACTGAAGGAATCTCAGCAGATTTTACACGTGGCTGCTTTCAGTCTTACTAAACGAGGCCAAAGAATAAACCCTCAGCGACTCACTAGGGATCTCTTAGAATTGTTTACTCAGCATCTGTCGACATTCCAAGTAGCCAGATCAGTTTTTCTAAGTCAAAGAAGGGGATCAATGAATACTTCTACAAGAACATGCGAGACCCTGGAAGAAGCATTTGAACAGAAAATCAAATTCCATCCAGCATTAAAAAATGATGAAAGTGAAATGAATTTTTTGAGGAGTTTGTCAAAATTATTATTGACACATATTCTACCCGCCAATATACACACATTTCGGTCACCTATTGTTATATTGACTGAGATTACAGCATGCAATGTACTTAAATCAGCGATTGAAATGCTCACATCTACAGACTGGTTGTATGAGAGCATGATTATCCTTCTATCAGATGAGGACCAGATAGAAACAAATTCTGATGTCAAATGGACGGACACAGATACAACACATTCCACTGAACAAACACAGCCTAACAGACACAAAGGTACAGAGGTTGCTGTCAAACTGGAAGAAGTAGTGCTGTGTGATGATACCATTAATGAAAATAATGTTGGAAATGCTCAAGTAAAAGATCAGAGCATTCTTTCAGATGATGAGTGTGAGAAAGACAGGAAGGTAATAATCTCAGAAAACATTCCTCAGATATTGCTTGAAGAAGCTGGTTGTGATATACATGATAGAGAAATAACGGGTGCTGAAAATGTTGACATGGACAAAGATGAGTTTGAGACGTGTATAGAAGAGAAATCTGACTGTGATAAAGATGATGAAAGAGGGAAAGAAGATGTTTGCCCACCAGATGATTCCACCGGGTTAAATGAAACTTCTGTTGAAACACAAACTCTTCCAGCACAAGGTTTTGAATCCTCTCAGGAGTCCAACAAATCTGTGGTAGACACAGAAACAGTACAGAATGATGCTTTAAAACCTGCCCCCACCTCTTCAAAAAATGACAATAAGAAAAAAACTAGTTCCTTTTTCAGTCTGTTTAACAGAAGGAAAGACTCAACAAAATCCAGGAATGATTCAACTGCTTCAAACTCTACTGGCTCTGGTGATGAATTTCATCGCTCAAGAGGAGATACGTTTGATGATGGAGAAGTTTTCCATACAGTTATAGGTGTGGAGTGTTCTGAGGAGGCTGTTCCTGTGAAGCGGGGTGCAGTGGTACAGTTCTTTATGCAGGAGGAGGAGGATGAAAAGAGTATGGATATGCTGACCTTGGACTCAGACAAAGATATGGTTGAAGACAGTTCACTACTTTTTCAGGATGTGAGCATTCCAGAAACGGAAGAACGTCAGGAATACAGGAGCTCCTCTAAATACACTCTCTACACTATAGAGGTGAGACACTCGGCCATGGCTGCATATTGCATATGTATGATCGGCAAGATCATGATATTATCAGTTTCCATGGTTACCAGTTGTGATGGGACAATACATCATAGTGTAGTTAGTAGTCATATTCATCTTATGTATTTAAAGACAGAGGGTTGAGGTTTCACACTCTCACGAGGCAAGGCATGACAGATGTTCATGTAGTACCGACCACTAGATGTCGGTTAATACTCGCAGGTACAATTTCGCAGCTATTTAACTAAGAATCTGCATGATGAATTATTTAAGTATCGTATCACAGGGATGTTAAGATCGTTTTACTCAGTACACAATTTGATTCATCCATTATCATGATGAATAATATTTATCATCAATAGTATCATCATTTCAACATGGCCCAATACACAATACATTTATTATTTATCTGCACTTCAGGCTTGTCAGATGACCGGTGTGCTAATCATGCTAATGATACCATTTGGCATTTTGGCTTTCATGTTCAATATCAACTGTCATCTGATATTGATTATTTAATGCATGTGTATAATGTGTGTCATAATATAAAAGATAAGAATATTATATGATGAAGCCGTGTATGATATTGAAAGAAAACAACCATGATCATCATGATTAACACAATGGTTATACCAAATATATATCACTTGTGCTCATATCATGTATATCACCATGATCACTAGCTGATTACAATACGTTAAGCATGTCTCCTCCATGTTATCACATGGTTATCAGTGTTCATGGTTATCAGCAATATCGCCGATGTCATATAGCTGTAATATTGCTGAGTGCAGCATTAAACAACAAACAAAACAAAAATATCGGTGTTTCTTTTATCAATAATGGAAACAAACAAAACTGTTTGGAGTGTCATCCTCAGAACATTTGTTTAGCAGTTAAACATTTTGAAAATACATTTTAAAATTTAGGGTAGGTAGGTAGAATTTTTTTTATTTCTTATTGTACATTTTTTTAGAAGTCAAGTACAAACTAATTACACATTTATCAATATATAATTGTTATTCAATCAAGGTTTTGGCCATCATGTGGACTTTCTCTATCAGAATGACCGATGTTTGTCGGTGGCGGGAAAAAGCAATGGTATCTAAAACTTAAAAGCTTATTTCATTTATACTACTAAAAAAAATTAGGGTCGGCACCAGAATTCAAGGGTCGGTCGGGGAATCGGAACAACAACATTTTTTTTTTTTTTTTTAGGCCTTAGATTGAGATGCTGAATAATATGAATTGGTATCACAGGTACAGTTATCATTGATTGTCCTTTGTAAGTTTTAATTGCACTGTTTCAGTTCAATGCTCTGTATTTCACGGATGGGCCTCCATTGATGAAGAGTGGAGCTGTAAAACGTCGGTTTCGTGAGTTTGTTAATCTGCAGGCCAGACTAGATGCCAAGGATAACTACAAGAAACTGCTTAAAGGTAACCATGGTAACGATGACAAGTCATGCCATTTTTTACTCATTGCTAACATCCATACTATATATAATAATAATAATATAGAATCTATATTTCAAGCTACACTTAATAAAATGTTTGTTTTTCAATTTGTCAATGATTGTCACGACCGTGTAAAGGTGAAAATTGTGATTTCATAGTGAATTTAACTATCATGATCTTGGTAACCATGGTAACAGTGTCTGAAATATCTGAGAAACAAAGATACATATGCTTGTACATAATTAAACTGCGAATATGAAACATAAGAAACTGTGAATTTGGATTTTACTGAGATATTGAAGTCTTGAGATATTGATTACACTACAGTAGAACTTGGTGATGACGAACATGAATATTGCATACTAGTAATGCTAATAGATTAACAAAAGTTGGGAATAACTTGATATACATGTTAAATATTATCATATAAATGTCATGCTGAATTTTCACCCCAAACAGACCCACAAATAACGTTTCTTACCATGCATGTTGGTGACCAGTGGGACAAACTGAGTCCATGCCAGTGTCCAGCAGCAGACTCCTGCTAAATACAATAACCCCATTATCACCAACACGTTGGTGAACCTAGTTGTCATATATATTCAGTAGTGAATCAATAGTCTCAATATTGCTTATATTGACTCAGGCTGTGTTACCAGTTCTCAGTTTATACAATAGTGGCCTGTGAAGATCCGGGTTAGAATTGATCTTCAATAACCCATGCTTGTCGTAAGAGGCGACTAACGGGATCGGGTGGTCAGACTCGCTGACTTGGTTGAAACATGTCATCGTATGCAAATTGTGTAGAATGATGTTTATGATTTTGATCACTGGATTGTCTGGGCCAGACTTGATTATTTACAGAACACAGCAATATAACTGGAATATTGCTGAGTGTGACGTTAAACAACAAACCAACCAACCAAATACTCGTACTTTCCAGGATTTGAACCCACTCTCTCAGAGTGAAGCACTAATTGCAGGCACACAAAGTCAGTGATCTAACCCACTCAGCCTCCACGACTTTCCACACAAAAATGGAAGTCTGACACCTGGTAGTCCAGATCACAGACTAAATCTACCCGTCTATAAACTGGCACAGCTCTGACAGCTAATAGTTATGAATTAGTTATTAGTTTATTGTACAAACTTTACAAACAAATTTCAAATGTCGATTGAATGTTAGAGTTTTTTGTGACAGTGTTTAGATGTTGTCATTTTCCTGATGTGTGATATTCAGAAACAAAAGGCCCAAGTCGGTGGAACACCCTGCCATTCAAGAATATGGACAAGGATAATGTGGAGAGTCGAAGAGTTTTTCTGGAGAAGTTCCTGAAGGTAACAGAGATTGCTGAAACAACTCTTGATTGACCTCTTAAATACACTCTTTTAGACTCACAAGTTCGAGACATTTCTGTGGTTGACAGTTAATCTTATCAACACATCAGTTAACACATTGTTTTAATGTAATTGTCCTCATGTTTTGATTTTAGCCAAAGGTTTAGTGTGTTTATAAGTTTCCTAACATGCAACATTAGCATGATATGTGCACCTATGTTGACTCACATTGTTTCTGTGAAGATTTTTCATTCTCATTTACAACATTTATTGAGTGTGTGCTGAGGAATATTTTCAATTTATGCCAGTCGCTGATCCTGATCGAGGCAGTCTGCAATGGCCCAGAGCTCCGTGAGTTTCTGGCCTATGAGGGAGATGGTCATATTCGTTCGTCAAGAAAGCTCGCGAGATAAGTGTACCCAGGCTGGATAAGGTGAGCATTTATCCATTTCATTTTCATTTTTATGTATATTTAAGTCAGAAACCTCCATTTACCCTGAAACAGAAAACCCACGAAGATCCAGGTTAGAATTGGTCTTCAGTAACCCATGCTTGTCGTAAGAGGCGACTAACGGGATCAGGTGGTCAGGCTAGCTGACTTGGTTTACACATGTCATCGTATCCCAGTTGGGTAGATCGATGCTCATGCTGTTGATCATATTGATCACTGGATTGTCTGGTCCAGACTTGATTATTTACTGTCCGTCGCCATGTAGCTGGAATATTGCCGAGTGCTGCATCAACCAACCAACCAACCAGCCTGAAACAGAAATACATTATCAATGTGACTCTCTTTGCAGATGTTTGTCAAGACGGCGTCTGTGGTGTTTGACAAGCTGAAGTCAATTCCTGACATTCCCCAGAATGTCATCTCCGCAGTTACGAAACGGGACCGTTCAGTAGAGAGACAAGAGGACCGCAAGGTCATGGAGGACTCCGACAAACAGGAGTTGGAGTTTTCCTGGCAGGATCCAGACTCAGTCAGTACCAGTTGTCTCCCTTTGTCAGATGAACAATGTCTCTGTGATCCTTCTATGATTACTAATGTGTCAAATATTAGGAATATGGTGAAAACATTAGTAATAGAGTATGGAATGTATGAATTAGTAACTAAGAATATCAAGTCAATTATATTTCTTTGTTAAACATGGCTGGAATCAGTTGTTCTTATCCAGCTGTCTTAGTGAGGGTTAGTACCCTCTATCATTGCATCTTGATAAACTCGACATATGCTGAGACTGTTGACTTCCTGTTCTGGGCCAGATGTTGTCATTACATGATAGATATTTAGTTCTGAAGTGTACAACTAGTGTTTCCCCAAGGCATTTTTTAGCAGGGCGCAGTGCCCTGCCCTATTTATTTGGTGCCCTTCCCATCTTATAATACAATAATTGAATTTAACCCTTTGTGGTTTTTAGTTTCTATTTCATGTTCAAGTTTGATCTACCTTCAGTTGTTGGCAATCTATAGCCGGTTTTTATATTGTATTGTCATTTATAGGTAAAATATTTTAGATTTAATTACTAGTCTTAAATTTATTCCTGTGATAATCTAGTTGTTTTACTGTCCTTTGTCGGTAGTTTTTTATAATGTAATTGTGTTTATTGTTAATTTATAACTTTTTAAGTCACACTATGGCTGAAATTGCTGATGTGACTATAAATTTTAACTCACTCACTCATGTTCAAGTTAAGTGAAATAGCTGCTCTTTAAGAATCATTTGCATGAATAACATACTAGTAACATAATGCTTGGAAATCTGTGTTTGCATCCCCTTTTTACTTAGGTTTGCACCTTTGGAAATTATGTCGCCCTGCACCTTTTTATTCTGGGGAACACTAACAACACATGCATGCCCTTTTTATTGTTCGGTCTAAAATTATCCTTGTAACCTGAGTGCCTCTAGTCGTCGATGATTTGGTGTGGGGCGCCTTCTTTGTACAGCTGATGTTTCTGTATTACAGGACTCTGGGTGTAATCAGTGGCTTCAGGCTCTGGACGAGTATGTCAGTAATTCTGAGAAAAGTACAGATGATGATGACAGCAACACTATGATCACAAGCATGGATACGAAGGAGAAAAAGGCTTTGCTTGAGGAAATTCATGCCAGGTTGCCACGGATACAGGGAGATGGTTCAGAAGCACCAGATACACTGGTTCAAGAAGGTGCGGTCATCTGTCAGTTCCTGTCAGTCACAACTTTCATTGCTAAGTAGTTAAAGAATAAGGGAATAATTTGGTTTAATCATCAGTAGAAATGTAAATTGTACTTACAAGCTTTAGAGTCACCTCTTTTGGTATAATGAGGTGTCTGACAAACCTTTTTGATTTTGGCTATTAAAAAGATGTCTTGTATACTTTGTGAATTTAAAACTGTTCACTTCCCAAACCTCCCATGTTTTATCAATTTTGTGAGACAGGAACACTCCATGAATTGAACATGCACATAGACAAACAGTGGTAATTTGCCACACTTCTTGGAGTACATACAACTTGCTAGAACAGTGCAGTACAGTGTGAGGATGTTTGTATATGCCTTAAATTGTTGTCTTTCAATTAACACAAACCACTTTACATGGACATGTAATATAATAATCTTTTCAGGAAAGGGTCAAGTTATACCTGACCTTCCCCTTGCTAATGCTGTCCTTGACCTGGCCCTCCAGACCATCCAAGGTCATGAGCACTGGATGACACGTGAAAGAGTACTTCCTGTGACAAGGATTGTGATTGGAAAGGCACTTGACAGGTAGTGTGTTTGTTTCTGGTAGTTACTGACTATTTGACTGGTATGAATTACAATTTGATAATTTGTCATTCGTAACTGACTTCTAGTGGGGTGAAATTAAGCTATCTGCTCCAATTAGTTTTGTTTGTTTGTTTTGTTCATTTGTTGTCCAGCATCGCACTCAGGAATATTAAAGCTATATGGCTGTAAATAAGTGAGTCTGGTGCAGACAATCCAGTGATCGACATCATGCACATCGATCTATGTGATTGGGATACAATGACATGTGTTGACCGAGTCAGCTAGCCTGACCACCCAATCCCGTTAGTCGCCTCACTGTGTCAGACCACTGTGATGTCATCAGTTACCATGCCTTCACAATTCAACAGCTTCACTAATCTCTCAGCCTCTGAACCTGGTTAGGTGTACTTGTTACACTAAAGACACTAGTTATTACTGTTTATAAAGCAACGAAGTTGGAAGGATGACAATAGAATCTTACCCTTGTGTCTTTTGATGTCAGATATATTACTAGTCAAAAGTTGAAAGCAATAAGGCTTGATGATGGATTCTTCCTGTATATACCTTTCAGTGATGTCTTAAGGAAAAAATCCATAATCTGTTAAATCTGTTTTATGTAGTAGTGCTTATTATCATGTTGATCATGTAAATAATGCACCTGCAGACTTGACTGCAGTATCATGTGTATAATATCAATGTTTTTAATTCCACATTTTGCCACCAGGTGGCTGTCTGACCAGATCAGCTACCTAACATCGCCAGAACGCTGGGTGTATTACTCTCAGCTGCTGCGGAAAGCAATATGGCCAGAAGGGAAGCTGTCGACCGAAGATAAGCCAGTTAAACAGGAGAGTGAGAAGGAGGCAACGCGGAAACAAGCCAAGCAATGTCTGAAAGATTTCTTTCCAGGTTAGTGATGACTTGATATAGAAATGTTCATACACTTATCATGTGCTTATACAACATGCACCATGTACTGTAAATCATGAAGTAGAATAACAAGAATGAGTTGTCTGAGCTCACGTATATGAGCTGATGCATTGTTATCTCAACTAATTGAAGCTAATTGCCTCATCGGGAATTGTGATGGCAATGATGATGTACGTGACAAGATCTGACTGAACAAAATAGTTGTGGGCTCGATATACTGCTTCTTAGCAGTACTTTGTCAGGTGTGGTCAGTTTGTTTACCAAAGTTGCCATCTTTGAATGACAGCATCTTTGACATTTAGCGTGAGTTGTTTAAGGTGCTGCAGTTTGCTGTACAGAGTTGCATCCTGTCAGCGTGTCTGAAACCTGTGAAAGTGGGCTCGATTCCCCTAGTTGACTGCTTTCTAGGTTTGTCAAGAACATACCTGTGCTCATGGGTTTGACCAGGTGTCTGCATCACTTCTGTCATATAACTTAAATACTTTTCACTCATGCTTGTTAACTCTTTGAGGAATTGTGAAACTTCCAGCAGTGAGCGTGATTATGTGAGAACTTAGGCACAGTTGATCATTTATGGCTAGGGGGTGTGATGATGATTTTATGGAGAAGCATGTACAATGTGAATGACCCCCCCTAAAATTTATGTACAAAATGAATTATCCCCCCTCCCCTTCCCATAATTTGTAAGCATAATTTTAAAATATTTTAATATACAAAATTGCTGATCCCCCTGGTACATGTATACAAAATTGATGACGACCCCAGCTCCCCAGAACAAAATGGTAGGACACCCCACCTTTTAAAATCATCATCACCCCCCTAGCCATAAATTATGAAGGTCCTTTAGTTCTCGTAAAGCGTTATACCTACATCACTATCACAAGTTGAGGAGGCAAGAATAAGGAGTTCCTGCTGTTATTGCCAGCACTTCAGGGCTACTTCCTTCCCCTCAGCAGCTGACTACTGTTGTAGGTTTTATGCATGTGTAGATGTTTCCACAGGGTGGGGGTGGGATCAATATCAGTGTGTGTACATGTATGCGTAAACTCAACATGCACTTATTCAGTAGTCAGCTGATAGCAGGTAAAGAAGTAGCTGGAAGTCAATAAGAAAGCTGTTATCTAATGTTTGTTTGTTTGTTTGTTTGTTGCTGTTTCATGCCGCTCTCAGCAGGTGTTATCTATGACTGTTTAATGCCACTCTCAGCAGGTGTTATCTATGACTGTTTCATGCCACTCTCAGCAGGTGTTATCTATGACTGTTTCATGCCACTCTCAGCAGGTGTTATCTATGACTGTTTCATGCCACTCTCAGCAGGTGCTATGGTGTTATGCCACTCTCAGCATGTTATCTATGACTCAGCAGGTGTTATCTATGACTGTTTCATGCCAGCTCTCAGCAGGTGTTATCTATGACTGTTTAATGCCACTCTCAGCAGGTGTTATCTATGACTGTTTAATGCCACTCTCAGCAGGTGTTATCTATGACTGTTTCATGCCACTCTCAGCAGGTGTTATCTATGACTGTTTCATGCCACTCTCAGCAGGTGTTATCTATGACTGTTTAATGCCACTCTCAGCAGGTGTTATCATGACTGTTTAATGCCAGCAGGTGTTATCTATGACTGTTTAATGCCACTCTCAGCAGGTGTTATCTATGACTGTTTCATGCCACTCTCAGCAGGTGTTATCTATGACTGTTTCATGCCACTCTCAGCAGGTGTTATCTCAGCAGGTGTTATCTATGACTGTTTCATGCCACTCTCAGCAGGTGTTATCTATACTGTTTGAGCAGGTGTTATCATGCCACTCTCAGCAGGTGTTATCTATGACTGTTTCATGCCACTCTCAGCAGGTGTTATCTATGACTGTTTCATGCCGCTCTCAGCAGGTGTTATCTATGACTGTTTCATGCCACTCTCAGCAGGTGTTATCTATGACTGTTTCATGCCACTCTCAGCAGGTGTTATCTATGACTGTTTCATGCCACTCTCAGCAGGTGTTATCTATGACTGTTTCATGCCACTCTCAGCAGGTGTTATCTCAGCAGGTGTTATCTATGACTGTTTCATGCCACTCTCAGCAGGTGTTATCTATGACTGTTTAATGCCACTCTCAGCAGGTGTTATCTATGACTGTTTCATGCCACTCTCAGCAGGTGTTATCTATGACTGTTTCATGCCACTCTCAGCAGGTGTTATCTATGACTGTTTTACTCTCAGCAGGTGTTATCTATGACTGTTTCATGCCGCCTCTCAGCAGGTGTTATCTGACTGACTGCCACTCTCAGCAGGTGTTATCTATGCCACTCTCAGCAGGTGTTATCTATGACTGTTAATGCCACCTCAGCAGGTGTTATCTATGACCTCTCAGCAGGTGTTATCTATGACTGTTTAATGCCACTCTCAGCAGGTGTTATCTATGACTGTTTAATGCCACTCTCAGCAGGTGTTATCTATGACTGTTTCATGCTGCTTTTTATGTTATCTATGCTCTCAGCAGGTGTTATCTATGACTGTTTCATGCCACTCTCAGCAGGTGTTATCTATGACTGTTTAATGCCACTCTCAGCAGGTGTTATCTATGACTGTTTGCCACTGCAGGTGTTATCTATGACTCTCAGCAGGTGTTATCTATGACTGTTTCATGCCGCTCTCAGCAGGTGTTATCTATGACTGTTTCATGCCACTCTCAGCAGGTGTTATCTATGACTGTTTCATGCCACTCTCAGCAGGTGTTATCTATGACTGTTTCATGCCACTCTCAGCAGGTGTTATCTATGACTGTTTTATGTTTTCATGGTAAGCACCATACTATACTTCCATGAAGAAATTGGTGGTAATGTGGTAATTTCCCATCCTTATGTTGTAGACTTCATTGAACGTTTGGCTGGAGCGGAGGATTATGACACTGCAGCTGATCAGATCATTGACGTCCTGCAGTATGAGAAACTCAATCGGCATCTGCTGTACATGTTCCTGGAGATTCTCACAGAAAAACTGTTTCCAGAAATCTCCGCATCGGAACTGCAAGATAAATTATTCAGTTAATACAACACAGAGACTGCCAAAATGTTGCACCTTTAAATATATCACAAACTGTGATTGTCAACCAAGAAAGATATCATAAATTTCCAGTCATGTGAAGTAGTTCCCTGATATAGGTTGTGCATATTGCTTCAGGAGGTAGTTCCCCACACAAGTTGTGCATGTTGGATGAGAGGGAAGCTCCCATACTTGAGTGTGTGAATACAGACTTTAACACTCATTAATCAGTAGGCTTTGTGTTGTTCAAGCTTGCACTTTCACTATCGCATAAGACTGCACAAGAAATTGAGAGGACCACATGTACTCCAAGATGGCTGTTGTATTCACGCACATATTCCAGGATGACTGTTCCTCCCATTCTCGAAGGCTGCAGATGCTCTTCACATTCCAAGATGGCAGTCTTCACATGGTAAACAATGGCGTCTTCAGGCAAAAGCCCTAGTAATCTTTAGATCAATAGTATGAAAGGATTGTAAAGAACTACTGTATGTAGCAGTATTGTAGCGTGAGTTTAAATGTGCTATTACTTTGATGACAATAGTGCTAATACTTATGGACACTGCAAGGTCAGAAGACTGAAAATTGAGACAGTGCTTGATGTAATAATTTTAGGTTAATATTGGTAGCATTCTGAACAATGAACAAGTCTAAAAGGCCACATGAGAATATATACTTGAATGCATAGGCCTTGAAATGTTTAATGTTTAATAATGTTTATCTTTTTGTGATTCAGTGCTAACTATTCCTGTTTATCTGAACTCATTTTGTTTGTTTGGATCAGTAAAATATCTAGTTTCACAATTAGAATCCTAAATCCCAATATTATCCAGAATCTAATGTGAGAGTTATCTTTCCTTGACTATTCCTCATAGACAAGTAATGTCTCTTCCCAGCAAAGAAACATCATTATTTTTAATGTACTACATCCTCACAGATGAACATGTTGATCCAAAGGGAGGACATGTCTTCAGAAAATCTAGTCCACAAATATTATTCTGCCATATATCAGGGACCATTCATAATTTATGGCTAGGGGGCTTGATGATGATTTTCAGGGGGGTGTCATCCATTTTGTTCTGGGGAGGTATTGAGAAGAGGGGGGGCATCAAGTTTGTACACGTGTACTAGGGGGATCAGCAATTTTGTACATATTAATCCAAAAAAAAATAATGCTTCAACATTATGGGAAGGCGGGGTCATTGATTTTTGTACAAGGGGGGGGCTTACTTTGTACATAAACTTTGTCGGGGGAGTCATTCACATTGTACATGCTTCTCCATAAGATCCATCATCACCATAAATTATGAATGGTCCCTTTGGTGCCATTTTATCACTGTTCATAATAAAGTGTATGAATGTTTCCCTAAATGTTCTTCATGGGATATTTAATCAAATATACATTATACATATTTATGACAGATAATATGTGAAACCTCAATTATGATCATGACAGTTATGTTCATGTAACCTCATCAAACTTGAGGTTTATGAAAAAGAAGTAAATCCTTATACATGTATCTTGATTTTTAATGATATATTGTGTTACAGAGTTAGGTGTCTAAATGTTTGAGGTATTTTATCAACTTGCAAGAACTCAAATTAATAATCTTGTGTCATTGAATTTAAGCTGTATTTATTGTCAAACAGAAAGTCTTGAAACCTGAGAATGCATTGAGATGTTTGAGAATATATGGGCAGAGGCAATATGAATATTTTGTGACAAATGTCACAATTATTTATGCACGTAAATATGCTGTATGCTATATAAATGTGACTACACATTAGACTGACTGAAGGTAGACTTTTATTGTGAATGGAAGCATTGTTTTAGCTTCATACTCAGCAATCCTGTACACTGGTTCTTATCTACGCACATGTGGATGTCATCTTGTCGTCTGGACTTGCAGAATTTGAGATTATCTTCTTCATCTTATTTCTCACACACAGCTTCAGATTCAGCAACATTTACAGGAAGGAACAGGTAAGGGAGGGTCCATTTGATTTCTTGGGGGTAGGTTTAGGGAGATGGAGGGGTTTGGTTTTTTGATTTGTGGAAAAAGTACCCAGTTGTCAATGATAGATACCACAATTCTGTGGTTAAAAGTCCCACCTTAATCTTCTGATCTCTCAGGTGGTTGTCCATGCTTACACTGTACACTGACAGTCAAAATTTGTGTGTTTGTAGTAAATATGAATTGATTGTTTGATGTAGGTCAGTAATGCAGCCAGATTGTTATTACACAAGACATTTTGTTTTTATAAACAATAAAAAAAATGTTTACTGAAGGTCCCCAGAATTAAACCATGGGCTTAGTTACTATGATTCCTTATCATTTCTGTGGCATAAAACAGTACTCACTCTGGTGTCCCAGAACATAACTCCCTCAGTCCAAGCTGCAGTTGCAGTCTAAGTAAACTTAGGCCAAGTATTATTTGTTACACTTCTACACTGAGTCTAACAAACCCTAGTAGAAGGTCGTGTCAGCTAACCTTTTGTACTGACCAATCAGAACACAGCTTACCAAATCGCGAAAGTTAGCATTCGCACATACCGTTTGAACCTTTACCTAAACAACTTGAACAATTCGAATGCTATTTTCCGCACGATCGCTTCAGAGTGATGAGTAAATGAGTAAACAATCGCTGAGTAAACAATCGCTGAAAATAGCGTTTTTGTCAATATTCAAGGATGTCATGTTGCGGAAATATAAGCTAATAGTAATCATGTCATTAGAAACCCCAAAGTGTATATACTGCAGGTCAAATATCTGTGTTTTATGCGGATTTTCGTTTCTTGATAGATCAAAGGTCAGCGACCAGGAAAGAGAAAACCCAAAAACATTTTGTAAGTCCAGCCGAATCCTAACAAGTAGTTGTTGTCTGATTGGTTAAATCCGTTCGGCCATCTCGCTTTTGATTGGACGGTCATAGGTCGCTCAAAGATTAGCTGACGCGACCTTCTACTAGGGTTTGTTAGACTCAGTATCTAGCAGTATAACGAATAATATTAAGCCTAAGTTTACTTAGACTGCTGCAATTGTGATGACTGTTTAATCACAAAATGAACAATTTGGGCAGATCGTCATTAGCATCGGAATATCATAATTATGTTACACGTTGTCAAGTTTAAAAAAAAATGAATTATTGTGATATGTTGTGATTGTCTTGAAACGTGAGAGTATATGTGTCTGGTTTTATTCATGTGTAACGTGTGTGGATTTTGTGAATTCATCCTTCTTATAGTCACATCATACTGACCAGTGAGTTAAAACTGACAATGCAGAAAAAAAAGATATTTTTGTTTCATCCCAGAAGTATTTTTTAATACAAATTCCTTGTCACATACTTATAGGGTAGTGAAAAAGATCAGGCCAGACCATTTATAGTTATTGTTTTACAGATTTTTGTCCTCAGAAAACCTAAATGCAGGAGGGAAAGAAAAATCACCAGTCAAAGTAATATTCCTTTTAAATCCTTAAAATATTTTACTTTTGGCAATTTATGAAGTGTATATGGGGCAAAAATATAATTTTCTGAAATTAAATTTCTTGTAAGTTTACATTTTTGGAAAATAAAAGCGTTAGAAATTTATGTTTTGAGTGGGGGAAATTTTTTTTTTTTTTTTTTATTCTTGAAAAAATATGACCGGCAGATCCATAAAACAAGATATAAAATTGGTCTGGCCTCAGTTAGTATTATTTTTCACTTTTGTGCCTTGCAGAGTATGTTAAATATGCCAAAAACATGAATAGACTCTTCCTTTTTTTAAAACAAGATTTGTCTCCTTTGGTTATAGATGCAGAATACTATCAGAGACTAGTGCTCATCGCATAGAGGTGTTATGTTTATGGTCAGATAACATGACTTTTTTCCAGTTGTCATGGTTACATATCAAACAGTATTCAGGAGTTTGTACTCTTTCAAACATAGTATCAGTATTCTTCATACAGTGAAACCTTTTAAACTCTGTAATTTGATTGGTTGTTGATGTTGTTGATGGAATTGGGTCCCACGTTATTTCAGACTGTCCTCTGTCTATAAATACTTTTTTTTTGTCTCTCTATCTCAAATATTGAAAAATGCCATTTGGCTTGGTGAAAAATATGAATTTTAAAGGATGGTTATCATGACCATTATTTATTTGAATTTGTCCTCATTCTGATCACAGTGCAGGTTCGGTTGTCACTGAAGCGTAAGATGCCATCTTGTATATCCCAAAACCATAGCATTCCAGGTACAAGAGAACCACCGAAAATTGCCAAAAACAGTTCTATTTTACAAGTTTGATAGGCATTATTTGTTTTCTAACTTGCTTGGTGTGTTTAGACGATGTTGGGAAATAATACCTGAGAATCTGATATCACAAAATGTTTAATGCCAAAGTGTTTAGAACCATCAAATATACATTTCAAGATCAGGTAACCAGACAGAAAGGCATGAAATGAGATATGAATCAAATAACAAGAAATAGTTACTGGCACTTTGCCAGGTTAGCAATTAGCAATCAAACATATCAAAATATCAAGGTGATATCTACTAATATGTCACATAAATAGATCTAACAGAATGAACAAAGTCTTGGTGTTCCCGAACAAAAAATTGGAAGTGGGGGTAGCTTAATGGGTAAGGTGTTCAATTGTCATGCCTAAGGCCTGGGTTCAATTCCCCAAAATGTATAAAGCTTTTTCTTATGTTCTCATCCATGATATTGACGGAATATTGCTGAAAAGGTAAAACTAGACTCACTCACACATATAAATGCACACATTATGAAGAGTGAAATATTGATTTAGTATTCTTCTGGGACCAAGAAGTCATTTCGATTCAAGAATTTAAAGTGACAGTTACTGAGGTTTCACTGCATGTTAGCCGCTGCTTGTATTCTGTGCTAGATTTCTAGGGTCCAATTTTCACAGTTTTAGATTTGTATATTTTGTATGCATTTTTAGTATATTTGAGTTTTTTGTAATAGTTGTACAAGAATCGTTTTAATGAAAATTGCCTGTGACTTTACCAGGTATGAATCATCATCATGTTTATTTGAAAGTTTTAGAGCAGTTTTAGTTCATTTAGATTTAGCTTAGGAATAGAAAGTAACATTCCACTGTATGAGGACTGAAGTAAAGTTGGAAAGTAAGCTCTAATTTTAGATTATTTTGATAAACACGTTGATTCTGTAGGAAATGGCCAATTCTAAGGTTGTCCATGGGCTAATATTAGTTTTGTATGTAGTTCATTTGAATTGTTGCAGTGTTATCCTTAAAATGTATCGTAAATTGTTAGTGATGATTCATAAAGATGAAGAGATTTGAAAAGCTATTTTCTTGTCTATTTCATAGGAAATATATTCTCTTACATCATGGACACTCCAAAATGACATGACAATATGGATGCATTGACCAAAATACATGTTTTGCTTACCTTACTGAAGTCGGGCGAGGTAACACCATGGCCTGCTTGTCCGTCGTTATTGGGGTCTGTGAACATCGTCAAGAAACACATGAGCAATGAAGCTGAAACTGAATACTGGTTCCTGCCAGTGTTTTATCACCATTATAGGGTTTAGAAAAATCCTTCTCTTCAGTTGAAAGTGTAAATTTATCTGTTTTGTAATTGTAAGATCGCTACTCAATATTGTCGAGTGATATTTTATTGAGATCCGGGTTAGGACTGGTCTTCAGCAACCCATGTTTGTCATGAAGGCGACTAACGGGATCGGGTGGTCAGGGTCACTGACTTGGTTGACACGTCATCGTATCCCAATTGCATAGATTGATGCTCATGCTGTTGATCACTGGATTGTCTGGTCCAGACTCAATTATTTACAGACCACCGCCATATAGCTGGAATATTGCTGAGTGAAGTGTTAGACAACAAACAGACAAATAATAGCTTATTTTAATTTCATCTGTGTATTTGTTCACATTTGTGAAATCTTGCATTCTCAATATTAGCAGATAACATAATATTGTGGAAGCAACTTTTGTTGTCAGTCTTTGTAATGACTTGTTCATAATGACTTCTCATCCAGGTGAGCTACAGTTTCATAATAGGAAATCAGATGTTTAAGAAATTT